AGTCAGCTGATTGCACAGGCTTCAGAGATAAAAGCTTTCAATAAGTGCAAATCAGTTTCTTTTGTTAGGCGCAGAACCCGAAAATGGATGACAGTACGCAACGCAGCATGGCGAGTGTACAGAGAAGCTCCAGCACCAGAAACTTGGGACAACTACGTAGCCCAACGTAACCACTGCACTCAACTGTTAAGAGAAGACAAAGCCGCCTATCAGCAGAACATCGCAAAAACCTTCAGCGCTAACCACAAACTGCTGTACAAGCACGTTAATAGCCTACGAAATGTGAGGCAGGGATTTACTCCACTCAAGACGGCTGATGGCCTAACAAGGACATCTATGGAAGCAGCAAACGCGCTGCAGATGCAATACGCCCCCACCTTTCAAGGGGTCTTGCCACAAAGCGACCTACCAAGCTCTGTATTCTGCTCACCAGGACTAACCCACATCAATTTTACCGCAGAAGCTGTATTGCAAATCTTACTTCTCTACGCAAACACAGCTCGCCGGGTGTCGACGCCATTCGTCCAGAGGCACTGGAAGCAACTGCAAACCAACTGGCAGGACCTTTAGCTCAGTTTTTCCAGCACTGCTTAGACCAGGACCAAGTTCCCGCCATGTAGATGCTTGGAATAATAAGCCCGATTCACAAAGGTGGAAGCAGAACTGATCCCTCAAACTACAGCCCAGTAACCCTTCTTCCTATACCCTCCAAGATCATGGAAACCATAGTTACCGATGCGCTGGTGTGCCATCTGGAAAACTGCAACCTCATCACTTCTGAACAGCACGGGTTCCGTCGACAGCGGTCATGTACAACTAATTTACTAATTGCACGCAGTAGTTGGACCGAGGCAGCCGACGCTGGAGAAGGTGTTGATGTGATCTACCTGGATTTTTCCAAGGCTTTCGACCCTCTAGACCATCGGATACTACTATCCAAGCTGCAGCATTAGGGGATCGGAGACCCTCTTTTAAGCTGGATCGCCAACTTTCTATTTCAAAGGCAATTAGTGGTCAGAGTTCGGAGCTCTTTATCGGACCCCATACAAGTAGAGTGTGGTGTGCCACAAGGCTCGGTTCTAGGTCCACGTTTGTTTTTGGTGTTTATTAATGATCTTGCACAGGGAATCGCTTCAAACTTCCTAATGTTTGCCGACGATATCAAGATCTGGCGCAGGATCCAGGCGAACACCGACCAACATGTGCTTCAGAGTGATTTAGATACGGTGTATAAATGGTCGACCCAAAACTTATTGCATTTCAACGTCAGTAAATGCAAGGTGCTTTCCATCCGACATTAAAGCAGCTACTCATACCGACTCGGAACGGATGTACTGCAACAATCAACTCTCGAACGTGACTTGGGTGTCCTGGTTCAAGATGACTTGGGTTGCTCCAGGCAATCCGAAAAGGCCTCGAAGACCGGGAACCAACACGTCGGGCTGTAGAGGCGGGCGTTTGGACAAATAAACAGCTCCATATTTCGACAAATGCTCAGTGCGTATGTTCGCCCCCATGTCGAATATGCAATTCAAGCCTGGCATCCATGGCTGAAACACGACCTTAATGCACTGGAGCAGCCACAACTTCGGGCATCTAAGAACGTAATTGGAATGCGCAGCCTTTCCTACCAGGAGAGCAGGCAATGACTGGGATTGATCAGTGGAAGCTATCGCAGACTACGAGGCGACCTGATTATGGCATACTTGATGCTGCAAGGCCCACATCATGTGTGCCACCCTTTACTGCAACTCAGCAGCAATACAAACCTGAGGGGCCACTCATTAAAACTCGTAGAACAATACAGTCGTCTGGAGTGCCGCAGAAATTTCTTTTCCATTCGTGTCTGTCACCCGTAGAATGCTCTCTCAGAATCGGTCGTCTCTGCACCGACACTAACAATAGTTAAAATACGGTTGAACCATGCACTCATCCACTTACACTTTGTTACTTAACACTACGTATCCATGCTGCTACTGGATTTTACCATGAAATTATTTGTTGTTAAATGTGGATGCTGTGAATCTAAGAGGATCGCAGGACTGCAGCGAAGCAAATGATAAGTCCTTATTTTCATATTTAAAGTATTAACTATTTTACTATCCTTATCATCATTATTGTTATGTTGATATCCCCTGCAACAATCCAACGGGACTTGTAAAGCAAACTTCCTAACCCGTATAAATTCATTGTTCATTGTTCAGCCTGCCAGCAGCTAGTGCCACTTCGCCATGGGTAACAGCCGTAGACCTGCGTGATTGACAGTTGACTATGATATAGCCCGGCACATCTTCCACTGTCATGCCAGTTACGAACGGTGCAGGGGACAATGGCTAGTTTCACGAGCTAGGACCTTCCGCATAGCGCAAATCTGTCAATCTGTCAAACTCGCAGGTCTACGGCTGTCACCCATGGCGAAGTGGCACTAGCTGCTGGCATCCTGAAGTCATGGGGGCGGAATCCGGCATGGTTCCGCTAGGAGGCGCACCACTGACGAGACCCAGAATGTCGAAACGCCGGCGTCTGGTGCTTTTCCAGACTAGCCTAAGCCTGCTGATTAGGAGTGGCGATGATGAATTAGCTGAATTATACCAAAAAGCTTCACTACTCATCAGCACATCAACGAGAGGCCATCGATTGAATTTAGGCAGCGCAGTACAGCCGGTTGGGATACCACCGAAACGCTTTATACATACGTGTATACCAGCCGTGAACTTACTACCGCATACTCCTACGTTAGCGGCACTTATAACTCAACTTGAAGATCCATTACACCACGTAAGTTATATGCTTTATTCTAACTTACCAGGACACGGGACAAAGTGACCAAACTATGTGCTCACCTAAAATTTAAGAGAAGTCAACCCCTACGCGTCGTTCTTGATAAACTTATTTTTTATCTCCTTCATCTACGGAAACTGTAGACATATTGATTTTTATCCCTGATAATTCCATTGTTCCATTGTTCTATCAACCCACTGACACACTGATGCCTTGAGATATTTCGTGGTCTAGTAGGTGGGTGTTTTAAAGTTAAAGACAGCATAATTACTCAACAGTCTTCGTGTTTCTGGTTTCCAAAGAAACATTTTGCTGGTATTAGCACGTCTGATCATGTTAATGCTCTCAAACTTCTTGCTTTAAAGATAAACCTTGACAAAAGTCACTCCTTCCACGTACTTCTACCTTATTGTGTTTCAATAAAAGCGACCGGAAACAGTCGAAATCCTATTTATGCAATTGTATATACCTTCTAACTGTTTGTCGATCGGTGTGGAGCACCCTAATTTTTAAGATCAGTAGTTAATCGTTCAAATGCTTACCAGTAAGTTCACATTGTGTTTATATTATAACCCTGAGATTTATTAAGCACATTTAATTTGTTCATTTGTTTAAACATATTTTGGAATACTGGTAGCTCGGGTTGATGATGTAATTGTTTTTTGTAGTAAACTGTGTATGTTACAATGCTGGTGGTGTGTGTTATGATAAAGTATTCACTCTACATGGGTGCAATTCTACCAGTCTGCTTGAAGTGATTTGACTCGAAAACACAAATGATAAACAAGTCAATCCCCAAGGTTATCAGTTTGTCAATACGACAACTCTCATAGATAATAGTAAGTTGTAGCGTACGGCCTCCTTTTCAGCGTCTCATCCTTAGGCTACTACACCAAGATAGGAGAAGCTAAATCAAATGCACTAATCAAAAGTGATGAATAACGAAATAGAAACTTTTACTCACAACAGCTAGGGGATTGGCTCTGCAGTACTATAAAGAAGACCTTAATGTGTGCCGTGTTTTCGCACCTGATTTATTCGAATCATCAGCACAAAAGCGGTATTTCTGCCCGTATACCGGATACCCGGACACTACACATAAATGGACAGATGTCGCAAACTGTCGAAACAGAGGCAATCGCTATCCGACTAAAAACATGGAGCTCTGTGCTCCAAGGAAACTCGTACAGTCCATTCGGCTGCCGTAGCCGCAGCAAACCTAGACTAATGATGGAGACCAAGCCATGTCCCATGAATTGACCTTGAATAGACTAATCATTAATCACTATTACTTTAACATTCCGATTTCTTTGTTCATTATATTTGATTAGTTGGTTCGATTTAACTCCACCCACCGTGATATATTAGCCTGAAGATGAGACAATGAAAAAGAGCTCGTTCGCTATAGTTAACTTTTGAAATCTTCCTGAGCATAATTTTTAACTCTCGTAGTTCATGTATTCTAGCAGTCTGAGTGAAAACAAGCCAATGAACTGTCAGTAGATATTTGAGAAAATCAACTCCGGTGATCATAAATTTACAGAACCCCAACGGAAACCTATACAGTGCGCCGATAAAGAGATAGCAAGACCACTTTCTTCTTTGTTAGCAGACATTGGCTACTCCAAAGGAGGAAAACAGAAGTTAGTTTTCGCAACTGCAATTTTTAATCCTCAGGGGCCAAGTTGTCATGCTACAAATCGGGATAAAAGGCCTGTGACAGAGAGTAAAGTGGATGGAGAAACACCATTCAGATTGAACCATGAACCACTGTGAGCTTCCGACCCTATATCCTTGTCAATTTTTTAAATAGAGCAAAAAGTTATAGAGGACATGACATTAAACCTTTATTGTCTTTTCTGTTTCATGTTTTTACAGTTCGACCTCTTGCTAATATACTTCTACTTTTTTCCTCAGTAGGTGACAACCTAAAATTAGGTTCAGTCGGGTAAGTATTGAGGAGGGCAGTTTATTAATACATTGCAACAAGGCACACCATAGGGAAAGCGAGGTATCAACACAACCAGCGTTGTTACAAGTGGGACATGAAAATCAAGAGTGATCACCCTGCTGCTCGGTAAATCTTATTGGGTTTTACTGTAATTCATAAAATTGCAAATATTTTCTATCGCTTAGATAAGCGACACATAATAGATATATTTACCATGTAGGAATGCATGAGGTTTCCTTTTATAGACTTGGATCATGTACCAACTTACTGGTTTCAATGAAACGCGTCAACACGTCAAAAATGAAAAGTTTTATCAGAAGACATTGAAAGCTTTGTGACATCTGGCTGAGGTTTGACGGCGTTTGAGTACGCACCGATCGACAGTGCCATTTTATTCCGAAAATGGTACGTGCTTTTGTGTGCGCACCTATGCGCCCACGGACAGTAACATAGTACTAGCGTACAACTGGATATGAGTGGGCGTCTTTTGCACAAATTTTCATTGATGTATTTCACTCGCTGAAGTGAACCTCGACGAAACAAGCCACCTGGTTCCTATGAAATCACACACAATTTCCTTCATCATCGATAAATACTAACCTCCCAACGGTGTAGGCAGTAGCTCTGAAGTACTTTTGGTGTCTCAGAAAATTCGAGCGAACATGATATCCGATGCACAAGTGCTTTAATCAAGCTTATTTCCTGGTTGCCGCATATACTTACTAAAAGCATGGTTTCAGGGATGTTACTTGATCATTTGCACAAACCGGTGATGGTTACGATTAAATCCAAAACGGTTCAAAACAACTTTAAAAAATCTATAGGGAACAGAAATCATTCCTGCATTCAGTATTTTGTGACATTGGATTACATTATTATTTATATTTTCCGACCGTCCATTTGTTTAATTGCATGTACTTACCGGTCATTTGCTGCTCTGGTTAGTCACGCTATATACTGTTGTCTGCTTCTGCTTACCTGCCCAAAATCCTTTGCAGCAGTTGTCAATACACGTTGGCGCCAGACGATCTAACTGTTCTCCCTACTTGCGTACTCGGCACGTCTCCTGAGTTTAGCATCTGAGTAGCACCCCACAAACGTAAGCCTTCCCATTCGAGAAACTGACTGAACTAAAAGCAACTTAACATTAGTGTAGTTAGAACAAGCGTAGGAATTGGTGGATTGGGGACCATTTGCAGCTCCTCATTTATGGTGCATAGTAAGCGCATTTGTTGCCACGCTGAAATAACAGCCACCTCCTGCTTATCAGGGTTTACATTTCAAAGTCACCATGAGTGGACCAAATATGCCTTTCGAAACTTGATCTTTCTCCATGGATATTTGTCCAACAAGTTACTTCACTATGCCGGCTTCGAGCAACCAGTATGCCACATAAGAAAAATATGCGTTCCGAGTCTAGCGGAGTCGGCCATTGTATGGCAATGCGGGGAGGCATCGTCTGTCACTGCAGCAGTGTAGTTAAGGAAAGGAGCATCTGGAATAACAGGTTTGGAACAACCAGCGCGCCTTTTGGATTGTCCCTTGCGAGCTGATCTGATGGGAGTACTGAGGTCGCACAATGATTTACCACATGCACACACTGCTTTCAATCACTTTTGTTTTTCCCGTTATGTTACATGTTCACTATAACAATAATATGGTTTGGAAAGTGAGCTTCAAATTCGTCACTAAAGCATCTTCCCTGATTAACCACTTAATGTTTTCTGTAGCTGAGCAGTTTAGCGTAGTATGTTAACATTTACTTGTAGACCTGGGGGGAATATTTTAAATTAGCTTTGACCGCTCCACCAAAACGATTTTTATAATTCGAAAGTAACAAAAAGCAATTTAAAGCATTGAATTCAATAGTTAGTTGTCCGAACTGCCTCCGTGTATGGGATCTATCCAATGAGGAGCTCAGCTCCCTTTGTGTAGCGTCACGACATAGGCCAACATCAACCTGACCCATAGTCCAGTGAATTTCTTTGTAATCCTTTGATACATCACCAGATATTCACTAAGGGATGATACGCTCACTGATCGTTCCAAGTCCATCCACTGCTGTTCGGAAGGAAAGCCTACTGCTTAGGAGCGTGTGTACCTATGTGCGTAGGTGTGTGTGACAACCAATCAATGTCCGCCATTGTGTCGCTTCGAACTGGAACTCGTCCGCGCGCTCATGTGACCATCGTAGCAGATTTTAGGTGTTGAAATGTGCTGATTAGTGTGCGCCGTTACAAGCTTCTTACTAAAGTTTTCCTACTACCATACTGCTGTTCTGATTTCGCTTGGATGTAACACGAGGATTGATACAACTGGGTGGGGCGTTAGCAAACTACACATACATGAGCATACAGCCGGTGGGTGTAATAACCACAAGAGGATTATTCAAAATTAACCGAACTTTTGCTACAACCTCTTTACTGCCCATCGCACAGCAGTTTAAGTACTTTCCAGCTAAAGTAGTCCTCTCTACTAGCAATACAACCTTTCCAACTGTACGTCCATTTTTGGAAGGCCTCCTGGAACCCACTTTTGGGATAGCGTGCAAATCTCTTGTCACATTGTCCGGAATCTCCTCTATGCTTTGGAAACGACGTCTTCTCGACCTGGCTTTTTGTTGGGGAAACGGGATAAGTTCTGCAGAGCCTAGGTCTGGAGAATACGGTGGACGAGTTACAAAGGAAGTATGATGTTCTGCCAGATAGCTGTAGACAAATAGCGATGTGTGAGCCAGCGCATTATCATGATATAACATCGAAGTCTAGTTTTCTCACAGTTCAGACCTTTTCCTGTGCACAGCATCCCTCAGAAGAGCTGGCATTTGATGGTGTGATCCGAATCTGAATTCAATTACGTCTGCAAATTCTCGAACAGATAAATGACGATTTCCACGGATCACAGCTCGAACTCTCGACATGGTTATCAGCTGTTGATGTGGAACGTCGTCCAGGCTTGGGATCGGCACAGACTGACATTCTGCCGTGTTCAAAACACGTAAATAACTTATAGCGCTGTATGCGACTCATCCAGTCCTCTCCGTATGTCTTCTACGAAAGTGAACTGTCTCTGCAAAATGTTAGCCACATTAGTAGATTAATTTCACACACACGTTTTGTTGTTCAAGCTCTTTCATTGTCTCTTTGGCACTAATTCGAGGAACAGCTTGTGCACGTGCTCACTTCAGCGGCTGTAGCTCCCCAATCAACAGTCAGAGTGAAATACGGCCAGTTGCATTTTGTTGTCTAAGCAAGTCTCCACATGCACTCAGTAGCCGTAGCGCGCTCCCTCTGCCGGTTGCCGCGCTATTTAAAAAGTTCAGGTTCATTCGGAACAACCCTCATATCATTGGGCCATGGAGAATGATTTACGTTCAAGATGCGGCTCAATGCGTCTCATGAGGGTTTTCTGCCGAACACCACATGTTGAGATACTGCACTATTCATCAAGTTGTTTCACCGTATATAAGCAATAATTCGCATGCGTCGAGGGCTTAACACGATGAGTATTTCGAATTCCTTAAAGTGCAGCAGACAGTTCACCGATGTATCCAATGACAATGGCTATGCAGTGCCATCGTAAAGTTTGAGTTAAAGTAATATTTAGTTCATACCTTCTCCAATAATAGTACTATTTTACTAACACAGTGTAAAGTTGTCTCTACAATAATGCGTCCGCCAGAGGCGATACAGTTACCTAGATAGATAAATTTGTCGATAGCTTCATCCTTTGTCGTTCGGTGTTGGGGCTAACTGATGAACAATGAATTTAAACGGCTTAAGAAGCGTTGCTTTACAAGTCACGCTGGATAGATTTTGGGGATATCGAAAGCATAATAATAATAGTAAGCATAAGAATAGTAATAATAATAATAATAGGAAAACGGTTGCTACTTTAATATGAAAATAAGGACTTATCGTTTGCTCCACTATGGTCCTGCAATCCGCTTAGATTCACAGCACTCACAGTTAACATCAAATAAATCCATGGTAAACTTCAGATGCAAGATGGAGACGCAGCGCTAAGTGACAAAATGTAAATGCATGAGTGCGTCATCCAAACGTCTTTTAAATACTGTTAGCGTCGGTGCAGAGACGACCGATTCGGGGAGAGCATTCCACGGGTGACGGACACGAATGGAAAATAAATTTCTGCAGCACTCCAGGCGGCTGTACTATACAGTGAGTTTCGACGAGTGGCCCATCAGGTTTGTATTCGTGCTGAGTTGCAGTAAGCAGCGGCACAAGTGGGAGAATGTCGACTGATGGGATGTCGGTAGTTACTCGATTTTTCTTACTATAATGGTACCTTGTCTGGAAGTTGCTTCGGCCAAGTTTCGTCCCAAATTTTGTTTCGAACTTCGTCCGTGTCAAGCGAAACAGCAATCAAGTTAACCTCCTTTGTCATTGTCGGTACGTTTGCTGCTTCAGGTGCTTTGATGTTTGAACCAACCTGGTTGGACTGGCACTTAAGGAAAACGAGAGCAGCACCCAGTATAGCTCCATGGGTGGAAAAAGTAAGCAAACCGTTGCAATCAGTTAAGCTCCAGGCTCATTGCGACCAATGCACAATGACCTGACAAAACCTCCTGGAAACTCGGGCATGTCTCCGTTTTTTCCAGGAAGTACTGCTTACCCCGGGACATTGTTCAAATTGATTTTACTTAGAGTTTTCTGTGAGGTTGTCTAGAGGAATTTTGTTTACCTTATAATTAAACAAGATCCGTACTTACATAACGTTGGATTATAGTTCATGACAATTCATATGTGGTTGCTGAAGAATAGTTCGCGGATAAATTTTCCTTAAATATTTTAATCGCAAGCTTATTTAGTTGCTTTTAGAATACCTCATAAACCACTACGACGATGCGGCTTTCCTCAACTAAATGCTGTTTGATCATTCGCATGAAATACCTCCGTTTAGATGAAAGAAGTTGGGATTTGTAACGACCAGCGCAAAAATATTGTGTCATTGTGATAAAGTTTTGCATGCCATCTACTTGTTGATATGAATGCAAAGGCTTGATAAATTGAACGCAGATCCTTTGTATCGTTTTCTACATAATCATCAGCATTTGGTCAACTGACCCATTGGATGTGAAAAGGATTGGTTTGTGTCCGCTGAATTAGGTCTACGGCAGCGCCAAGGATGAGGAACCTGATCAACCAAGCACTATTTAGAAATTTGTGGCTGATATTTTTATCACGTGTTAACAGCTCGTAGGCTAGTGCGCCGTGCCACAATAAGGGGGCTGTAAGGAATGCGCCTAATGTGTGCATTCCTTTGGTCATCTGAGTTGGTTTTAAGAAACTTGGACTATGCAGAAAAACAACATTCTTAT